GACAAAAAGTCATGTCATAATTATACTCGTACCTAATACGAACAATTAAAAAAGCACGCTTTAAACATACTTTGCATGAAAATTAAACAATCAATCTCGTATTAGTTACATATATATCATTAGTCCATGCATTAAAATCTTTCTTGGAAGATCCGTCCAAGGACTGTGATGAAGCGACTGGTAGTAGGTACGAGGAGGTTAGGTCGCAGTTCGGTCGGAATTTAGAGATGGTAGGTCTATAAAATCATTAAATCCATCGTCCAATAGAAAAAATTTAAACCCAATAGTGTTTATTTTCCGGCAATGAAGCCCGCCGGTGTATTCACGGGCGTGTTCCTTTTGGTGGCGATTTACTGTGCTGTTGACCCGTACAAACACAGCGCAATATCGGAATTCCCGGAGTTTGAGGCGTTTAAGGTTGAAATGCCGGCCTGGTCTGAAATCCCAGTTGAAAAAGACCCTGAAAATTTGTTACAGAAAGCTGAAATTAAGTTCTTGAACCAGGTGCAAGGCCCCGAGAGCATGGCGTTCGATCCGACCGGCCGTGGCCCGTACACCGGGGTGGCTGATGGGAGGGTTGTGTTTTGGGATGGTGTGAAATGGACTGATTTTGCTTACACTTCGGCTAATCGGTAAGAATTGCTGAATTGGACCGTAGGGCTCATTTTTTGCTCTATTTTGGGACTTCTTGAAATGTTTCTTGATTTCGCTTCGAGTCTTGTGATTAATATAATATTTTAAGTACCCGGGTTGAAATTTGTTATCTGTCCAATACATTTCTGACACATGAACACATCACTGCCATTTAGCAAAGGATTTTGTCATTTGTACCCGGAGCTTTACACTCATGCGGGAGGGCGGGAGGGGCAGGTAAGCTCCGGGTACCTGTAGTAAAATACTTTAGCAAATGGGAAGATGCCGTCAAAAATTGTTTTGGGGTCTTCCCATATCTTGAGAAGGATAAGAAATGTGCAGATGTGTCAAAAATATATGGGAAGACAGCGATCTCAACTTGTCAAGCACCCTCCCAAGCTCTAGGCTTTTAGCTAAAGGGCTTGTAACATATTGCATAGAATTTGGTATTTAAAAGGATTGATATTTCCCGTAAGTTAGTGTAAGATCTGCATTTACATGTTTTTTATGGTTTCCCCGTCTTTTGATCAATGGGAAGTTCATTTAAAATTCTTTCTGATTTCCTTTTGATAAATTAATTTATATATGGTTAAACTGTCACGAGCAAAACTTTTACCAAAATTGTCAATTCGGCATGGTCGGCGCTGTGAAATATTTAAATTCAGTACATCCCTTGGTGTAGGATTTATCGAAAGAAGTTGCGAGAAAGTATTTATGTAGCCGAGACCAAATTTAATGGAACAAAGGTTTAGTTTCTTGTCTTGGAGGTGGGAAACCTCTAAATTTATGAGTATGCAAACGTGATCCTAGTTCCGTCATTTTGTTCACGGTGTTCTTGTCTTGAAGATGGACGATTACCTCTAAAATTTTCAGGTCAGGCCTATGTGACCCAAAACCATCACCCATGGGCTATTTGAAGAACGAGCATATCTGTGGCAGGCCATTGGGTCTAAGATTCGACAAAAGAACTGGTGATTTGTATATTGCAGATGCATATTTGGGGTTGATGAAGGTTGGCGCTGAAGGCGGTTTGGCAACGTTCCTAGCAACTGAGGCCGAAGGAATTCCTTTTGGATTTACAAATGACTTGGACATTGACGATGAAGGGAACGTCTATTTTACAGATAGCAGCACCAAATTCAAAAGAAGGTCGCTTAAGATATTACGTGTTTGGCTAAGCCTAAAAAAGAAAATTATTTTAACTATTTGTTTTCTCACACTTTCAGATAAGTTACCTTTTCCTTAATTTAAGTTGAAAAAAGTTGCTTAGCTTAAAAAGTAGCTCTTACCTATTTAGTGTACTGTCATTATGCAACTTATTTCCAACTCTGACTT